GAAAATGGGGGGTATACGAACCCCCCTTTGTTAAACTGCAGGCTTGTTAAAGGGTTACCCTCTGAACAGCAATGCGTCGGCTGTGCCACCGCTGTGCTTTGAAAAACGCGGCATGACGATGGCATGGCTAGGGGATGGCATTTTGCCTGGGAACGAAGTTTCGTCCCCGCTTCCAGATGCCGTCGAACTGTTAGATTTGGTGGAGAAAAGTGGGCGTTCGCCAGACGCCCACTTTGTTTGTTGGTTTGGACGGTAGGTGAGGCTCGGCACTTTTTTCACGGGCTGACCAAGCTGACGGAGGTTAACGAACTCTAACTGACGGGATCAGGAAGGCGAGACCTACCTTCCTGATCCCGTCGTTATCCCGTGGTTCTTGGATATAATGGTGCTGGCGAACAGCACCAATGTTTCTACCGTCCTGCAAGAAATGTCACTGAAGTGAAGCTGAACTTTGAGAACACAGTAAACTGCAAGAAATTTCACATTCTAACCATGAAAATAATGTACAAGTTGATCAATATACCTATAGTAGGAAACCTGTTAGCGCAATAATATAGCATACATAATAGCAACTAAAATACTAATAAATGCACTTTAGATAGACACTAGTACACTACTCGGCTCCTGCAAGAAGTGCCTACCGTTTATTATTTCTCTAACTTGACTACCAAAATGGACACCTTTTCTCACAAGGTACCGGTACTCCATGTACATTTACCTGCAAGCTAGATTGGCCCCTTGCCGTGTGTCGCGGTTAGAAAGCTTCGCTCGTAAGCCAGAGCAGGAGCTGTTATGCGCCGAGCATTGCGTATGACAGAAGCCGCAGTGCGCGGACTGGGCATTGTTGGTATCGATGGCACTGACGCCATTGATGGCACCCGTTGTGCCTGCTTCTCATGCCCATTCTCTTCTTCACACAAACTGCTAGCACCAGCGCTGCCGTCAAGCCTACCACTGCTGTTCTCTCCTTTCTCTGCTCTGCACCCCTCCTCTGCTGCTTCTCGCATCTCTGCCCCCTTCCCTGCCCCCACAAGTTCACATCCATACCCACTATTGCAACAACCACAAGCTCCCCCATCCTCACTTCCTTTACCCCTCTCAATCCCATCCACACTCCCACTCCTCCACTTCTCATGACCGCAATGTAGTCTGGGCCGGATGTCGTCAGGCAGCCGATTGAACACCCGCTGAGGCGATGCAACATAACCTGACAATTGACGCTGGAAACTTCCGATTGAGTACGTTCGAGGTACAGACCACCTTGCTGCTGCCGGGGCTGCCAGCGACGATGGTGCAGTCACCAGGGCTCTAACTGTGGCGTTTGCTGCTGGGCCTCCTGATGCTGTTCCTGTTCCTCTTGCTGTTGCTTCAAATGCAGATGCATCCCCATGATGGGCAGCGTTTCGTGGGAGCGCCGCTGTCACCAGTTCTGTCGGCGGTTGTGGTGACGGGTTGACGTGAGGAACGTACACCAGCACGGCCTCCCCACCACCGCTGCAACCTCCGACACCTCCCACTCCATCCCCGCTATAGCCGCACTCGCCTACAGTGCCCACGGCGCCCACGCCCTCACACACCTCCCATGGCTCCAGAGCAGCTCGTGCCAGGTGCGTCCACCCCGGCCCGCCCAACTCCTCCGCTTCCACGCCGCGGCTTACCACCTCCGCCTGACCTTCGTCCGCCCCTTCCGCCTGCTCATCCCCGCCCCCGTCCCCGCGCACATGGAAGCTGAGAGAAGTCTCCGTGTCATCATTACCGCCCCCCGTGCCTGACTCAACCGCTCCATCTTCCTCCCCACCTGGCTCCCAATCCCGCGCCCCACGCTCCCCACTTCTCGCCCCTTCATTCACGCACATCATCGTGGGGACAAATGCCGCGCATAACGCGCCACCCCCGCCCTTCCGCAACGCCCCGTTGCAACCCGCGCCGCTCTCCCCCTTCCGCGAAGCCTGCACCAGCCGCGCCTTCGGGTCGCCAGGACTGCTGCTGGCCGCGCCTCCGCCAGAGGCCCAATCGCCGAACGTCAACCGCGAATTGGCGCTACTCTCGCTCGCAAGAGCCTCCCCGCCGGTTCTAATGCTTGCGATAGTAGTAACCTCCCCGCCGCCCCTCACCGCGGCTGCGCTTTTCTCCCGTCTCGTCCTCGACTCGGACTCCTTCTGCTCCCGCGCCTGCCGGTTTTCTCTCCGCACGAAGCTGACTATCCGAAACCATCCCCGTTTTAGAGCTCCCCGTTCGCCGTGCAGTGGGCTCCCGCGCAGCACATCCAAAATTGCTTTACGAGGACTGCTAGGTCTCCTGGAATCGGCGCTACATTCAGCCGCTGCACCCACTGCACCCACTGCGTCGGGGCTCTGCGACGCCGCCGTTGAAAGAGGCGGCGTTGGGGCGGCGATGACTTGAGGCGACTCGTCAACAGCCGCGACTGTACATGGCGCGGCGTCCGTCGCGGCCGCATATGCAGCTGCAGACGATGCTGCCGCATCGCCGCCAATGCTACTACTATCCTCGCCACATGCGAGCGCCTCGCTGCTACTACTGGTGGTAACGTCGTTCGCAAGACCCGCGCAAGCGTGCAGGGCGCAGTTACTGCGGCGGACTGTGTGTAGACATGTGCTGGCGAGGTCGCAGGGCGTGCTGGTTTCGCAACGCGCGATGCCCGCGCTGGTAGTGGCCGTTCTTCTGTCGTTGCTGGCACCTGCAGTACTAGTCATAGCACTCCTGGCTGGATGATGACGTAATTACGCTGGTACCACGAGTACTGCCATCGCCGTTGGATGCGCTATGGTTCGGAACCGCACCGCAGATTTTGCAAGGGACTCCTGGCCTACACGCCAGTCGTTGCATGACACGTGGCGTCGTCGAGTGGCGTCGTCGCAAATTTTACGCGTGATCTTGAGAGTTGAGCGCTACTATGAGATTATGGCGGGCTTGAGGCACGAAGGTGATTAGAGTCGAAGGCTCAAATGGTCGTCAAGCATGACTAAACGCTACCGTACTACTTCTGCGGGACTTCGAGGGACAGGTCACAGAAGGATGAACTAATCGCAATAATTACTCCGTCAACGACATACGCGTATAAATTAATGTTATGACCTGGCTCAGAAGCTGCCAGGTTTCTTGACTCAGATCCTCACAGCCAACCAACCATGATACCTTAAGGCTTCCTCTCGTCCAAAATTACTGTAGGTTGGAACATCTGTGGATTTGAAACCTCACAGTTAACGCGCGTAACTCGGTGTGCTCATCCAACCCCCACGCGATTTTCTGTGTAAGGTTGGGGTTTGGGTTGGGTTGGGTGCTCAGCGGGGTGCTCTAGAGCAGTAATGTCTGCGTGCAACAATTTTGGCCATTTGAGCTGCTGAGGCTTGGCTTGGCTGGCTGTTCCAGAGGGGTGAGAAACAGAGCAGGTGGAGTATGTGACTGCAGAAGGTGCTCCAGGTGGGAGGGAAGGGAATTTGCATTGGCTGGGGGGACGAGGGAAATTCAAGCTTCGAAGCGCGATTTGTTGGGATGGGTCTGTGCATGCGAGCGGGTGGCGGGGATTGTCACCACCGCAGACTCGCAGAGGAGCTTGGCCACGAGGGAAAAAATGCCAGCTGACAAGGGAGACCACGCATCTTGTGCTCAATGGGCGAGATGACACGTTACTGTACACATTTCAATGTAAAATGGAAATGAAACGTTTTCCTCGTTGCTACTGTAAGGGAAAATATGTCACAAGTAACCAACATGGGACTCGATAACGTGAATGGTAAAAAGGTAACGCGTACGATCACTGTATCGGGTTTGCTGACGGGTTTGGTAAGTGGGGTCACGGATTCAGTCACTAACAACAGATGAATAATCACGCGAATGGTCACACGTAACTCCCGCCAAAATTTCTTGAAACTCTACAAAATTCCCGCTCGCGCCCAACCAATAAGCTAATTTATAAAAATACTAAAACCCGATCGGAATCGGATGCGGTTTATCCGAAAATGCATCCAGGTTCGTTTTGGGTATTATCCTTTTTGGGCGGGAGTTTCATCTGTGACCAGTTGATTGTGACTGATTCCGTGAAACGTTTTATCAAACACGTGAAGACACCCTTTGCAGTGACCGTACCCGTTCTTTTTTACCAAACATATTATCGAGACCCTTGTTGATTACGAGTGGCATATTTTCCCCTACTTTAACATTTTCTTGCATTTTGTTTTGTGACAACTAGCTCATCCACCTTTCAGAACTGGTTGTGTATCATTTCTGAGGGGCGAGACAAGCAGCCACTGGCAAAGTGACAACTGGCTTGCCTGTTTGTGATTGAATTCGAATGACCTGATGGACGGATGAGATGAACTGGCAAACCTCGCTGGACTGGACTGGACAGTGACACTGCAATTATCATACTGGACAAATATCAGAGGCATTTCCCGCCTAAAAACCGTCACTTCCAACCCCCCTTTCCCCCCGCATCCAGCTCCAGTTGCACGTTGCCTGGCTACACGTTACTACAACGCTCTTGTAAGATACACTCCATGCATCAGGAGATAGGCATCACAACCATCAGCCTTTGGTACACGATAAATTAAAAAACATTTCAACGTAACCATGTGCAATGTACAAGTACGAGACAATGGAAATTAATTTCAACAAAACCATCACAAGATGCCCATTCCTATGTTATTCGCATCAAAGCGCATTGGATCAAGGCCTCCAATGTCGTTTGACACCATCCCTAGCCCTTGAGGCTTCTTGTTGCATGCGTTGATACTGCACCTGCTGCTCCTGCTGCTGGAACACACCATCTTCCTCCTGCACATAAAGTTTCTGGAACTGCTTGTGCTGCTGCTGCCACAAATGGTAGTAATACAAGTCCTCGTCAACGTCTTGATGTTGCTGCTGCATCTGCTGGCTTTGGTGCTGCTGCCTCATCTCCCAACCATCTTCTTCCTCCCCAACCTGCTCACCATCCCACGCCTTCTCCCTCAAGCTAACCCCACTATCGTTGAATCCACCCCTCATGCCCAGATCTCCAGACCAGCTTCTTTCCAAGCTCGCATACGAGCGTCGAACCTCACCATTTGGGTCGTCGATATGTGTGCTGCCACTCCCTTCCCCACCTCTATCTGCACTGCTGCCCGCGTCCATTCCCCTCCTTGCAGCCCACCCTGAGGCATCCCCCAAGCCCGAACCTGTTGGTGTGGATGACGCTATGGGGGAAAGAGTTCGGGGGCTGTAGGCTCGAGCAGGAGAGTGTGGGCGACTGAAGGTTCGGCGACGAGCGTTGACAATGACTGACGAGGCCATTCGAGGCTTGGCCGGAGCTGGCCAGGCAGGCATGGAGGGGAGGCTTGGGAAGTCTAAAGGAGCAGATCGGTTAAAATTGTTAAAGTTGTTAGGACTGTTCATGTTACGCATGTTACGAGACAGGTTGGCGCTGGCCCCGTTAATAGCTACCCTCGCCTCGTTACCTCTTGCCGCGTTAACACTCCGGCTGCTGCGGACAAATTGTCGCACTTCTGTTACCTCTTCGCTTTGACTCTCCTCTCCTCCACCAGAATCAGAACCTAACCGCACTGCATCCCTTTGCGTCCCGCCCTCTGGTCCGGCTACCGCTCTGCACCTTGCGCCACTCCTTTCGCAGCTGCCTCCGCCAGTGCTGGTGTTGCTGCTGCTGTTGCTCCTGCTTACACTAATATCCTCCGTTTCCTCGCCCTCACTTTCCTCTAGCGAATCACGCGCAAGAGAGAGACGAGTGGGGGCAAATGATTCATGCAGATGGCTTGGAAGCATGAGAGGCGACAGAGGCTCTTGCCGGGGTACTGCTGGGCGGGTCGGAGCTGAGCTGCTGCCTCGTGCCGAGGCAGCCGTAGGCTTGGAGTTAGGCTCGGCAATAACGGGCGGCTGGGCGGACCGTTTGATCTCAAAAGTCCGGTTGAACTCCATTGACCGGCCGTTGACCGCCGCTGACCCGGCGAACTCAATTGACCCGTCAAAGCCGCCGCGTTTCGGGGAATACTCCTGCTCCATGGAGATCGGGTCCATCTCCGCCATGTGCTGCATCTCCATCGAACGGTCGAGAATCAACAGCCCATCCCCCACGATAGCACGCTGTTCTTCCATAAACTGACGGAGCTCCAGTGAGTGACTTAGTTCGAGGGAACGAGTGGTGAGGAGGTCGGCGGAGAGAGATCGAGGAACCACGCAGCTGCCGGCGCCGGGAAAGCACGCCACCTTGCCACTTCCCAAAATCGGTCTTCTCGAACGCCCCGTTACAGCGGTGGCGGCGGCGGCGGCCGCAGCAGCAGCCTCTGCTGCAGATGCCGCAGCGGCGGCGGCAGCTCCGGAGCCGGAGCTGCAGGAGATCTTGCCGAGGCTGCTGGCTCGGTGGACGGACGGCACGGAAATGTCTTCCAAGGCTGCGAGCAGCAGAGCCGCGGCGTCCTTCGATTCCGTCGCGCGCAGCGCGCCGACTTCCTCCGCCGTGCGGATGAGCGACACGAGAGTCTCCTTGGAAACGCCGCGCGGGAGGCGAGGCGCGGAGGGGAAACGGCTGTCAGTGGCATCGGACACGTCAGCCGGGATTTCCACGGACGCGCTGGTTGCATTGTTGCGAAAACTGGTGGCAGCTGACGAGACGACGAACTCTTGGGTAACGCAGGCGTCCGCTTGTCCAGGGTTTTCAGCACTTTCAACCGACCCTTGCTCCCTTTCGATTTTCCCAGGTTGCTCGTCCTCCTCTCCGTCATAATCGCCGTCATCGCCGACACCGTCATCGTTAGCGTCATCGTCATCGTCGTCGCTCTCCCCCGCAACCCACCCTCTCCCGCGCGCCCCTTCATTGCGCGACCCAGCGCGGAGAAGCTCGACAGCGGAAACATTGCGCGCGGCCACCGTTCCCGTTCCCCCATGCCCTGATAGCGCCAGTTCAGCGCCATCGTCCGCGAATGCTTCGTGCGCAAGCTCCTGGCTCCGCCGCGTAGAAGAGAGCGGGCCGGAATGGATCGAGGCGCTCCCGCAAGACGATCGGGGCCGTCGATTACGGCGAACAAACATCAAGCAGCAACACGAGGAGAAGAAGCAGTCTGGCTGGTCGCTGCCTCCCTCGTACCGCGCGGGCGAACGCCGTTGACTTCGTTGACTCGAGCGCATCAGGTTCTTTGCCTTCCATTCCCGTTGCCGGCTCGAACCGCGCGCCCGCGATTTCGCCACCTCTTTCCTAGCAGGTACCGCGCGATCCTGCTTTTGCGGCGCCTCTCTCTCTTCGGGGTACACCTGTCCGTACTGCTGCTGAGGTTGCGGCTGCCGTTGCTGGTGTTGATGCCGCCTGGTTGGGTATATCTGCCCTACTACCTCTTCTTGTTGCTGCTTCTGCTGAAGGCGCGAAAGCGCGCCCTGAGCGCTTCCCGTCATGTCTCTGCCGGGGTGAATCGACGAGGTGGAATGTGATCGTGAAGGCAACATTAAGACGCGTGAACTGTGCTCGGCGACGAATGAGTTTTGACTATTTACTTCATAATTGCTACTGAAGGCTGGTGGTGTGGCGATGCTTGAGCATATCTGGGCGTTGTTTCGAAAGCAGAACGCAGGATAAGGGGTGGGAAGGAGAAAAGGCGCGAAGCAGGCAGTTGCGTGGGCGGGGCAGTGATGCTGTAGGGTGGACGGATTTGGGTTAGGTTGGAGCGGAGGCACCTGGACTGGGCGAGAGTGGCACTTGGCGAGGAGATGGGAGGGGTGAAGGAGGGGCCGTAGGGGAGGGGCACAAATTGGAGGAGAGGCAGGGAAAGCCGAAGCGCAAGATTCGTACGGATAATTCTGAGACCGCGAGTCGCGCACACCGAACCAGAAATGAGTAGTCACATTCGAAACGCGCTGACCTGGAGTCGTCACGTCCCCCCATGGAGGTTGGCTTGTGGAGGTAACGAGCCTACATCGACCTGGTTTGGGCACTTGACCCACCTGCTAGTTGGATGCGTTTTAGAACACTCGCGTTTGTCACACCTGCGCTTTGGGAAGGCTGCTTGTATATCCGTTTTATAAGGCGATCCAACAGCGAGTAGCATAAAGAGTGCGCCTACTGACCAGACATAACGGATGCTGGGAGAATCGATATAAAAGTATGTACTTCCATATGTTTTAGCCAGCTAGCTTGTATACTCGAATTGGTTTAATCTACAAATGACATCCGAGTGCACAATCTCTTTGCACCCATTTAACTGCATCTCATGTACGAAAAAAAATATATAATAGCGCATGTTCTCCTTGCACCCATCTAACTCCACTCATGTACGAAAAATGACACCAGAGTGCAGTCTATGTGCAACCATTTGACTCCATTCGTGTACTTATTATGAAATCAGAGTGCACATTCCATTGCAACAAGTTACAAAAAAAATAAGGTGGGGTCTATGATAGCACTCCTCACTTATTACTATTTCTGTTCATAAGGTGCTGACGTGGAGGGGTGGTGCTGCGCTGCCTGATCACCACATTTGGATGAACGTCCTTCCCGTTATTCACCCGCCTACTGCTGCTGCCACCACCGCTGCCAGCACCATTACCACCCTCGACCCGACAGCTCTCACCACTGCTGTTCTCATCTGGAAGCAACGTCACCGAGTCATGCACCTCAAATCCCTCCACCCCTGTATGCACCTCAAACCCCTCCACCCCTGCACCCACATGTGCAGGAATCGCAGCACCAGCACCACCTGCTTTCAAACCCTCCCCCTGACTCCATCCTTCAGTGCTACCACCAGTCCAATTGTCAGCACCCCAACCGCTCTGTGCAGTGGACAAAGGGACTTGCTTCTCCTGGGGATGCATCATCCATGGCTGGTGGTCACTGAAACCAGGAGCTGCCACGTGGTCCCCCCCCATTGGTGGAGGCATCCCCCAGGGCAGCCCTGTGTATGGGTCGATGAAAGGTTGGTAGGGGGAGGGGTGGTAGGAGGAGGGATGGAAGGGCGGGAAGGGGAATACATTGTGCCCAGGTGGCAGTGCATTGGAGGGGAGGGCGCTGCTGCTAGTTGCTCCGTTGCCGCTGCTTCCACTGCCAAATCCGGCAGGCAAGGCATCAGATTGGGCAGCATAAGCACTATCCACGGCGGCAGCAGCAGCAGCAGCAGCAGCAGCAGCAGCAGCAGGATTGGCAGAGTCGGTAGAGTCAGGCGGAGGCAGCTCCAGCACCAGGTACTGTCTCTGACCTGCCCCCTGCTCACCGCTGCTGCTGCTGGTAACCCCACCTCTGCATGCTGATGCTGGGTCTTTGGGTGCTGCTGCTGTCCCTGCACGTGCTGCTGCTGGCTTGCATGGTGCTGTTGCAGCTGCACCTGCCTCCTGTGGCGATTCCTTGGAAGTGGGGCTCTGCGTCGAACCCTTCTTGAGGCATGGCTTCCGTGGCTGCTTGGACTGCTGCTGAGGCTGAGGGTGTTGTTGCTGCTGCTGCTGCTGCTGCTGAATGGGTTTTTTCGACTGCTGTTTCTGCTGTGTTGGCTGCTGACTTAGCTGCGGATCCCAGTGACTGGATCCAACAGCGGCAGCAGCAGCCACGGCATCAGCAGCACAAGAGGCGTTGATGATCATTGGCTGCTGTAACGCCTGCGTGGACTGCTGGTTACCGCTGTATCCCTGGGTGTAACCGTTGTAACCTTGCATATAGGCATACGGATGGTGGAAAGGCATTGAGAAAGGATGCATCTGGAAGGGGTGTTGCTGCTGCTGGTAGGGTTGCTGTTGTTCCTGGTGCATCTGCTGCTGCTGCTGCTGCTGCTGCTGCTGCTGCTGCTGCTGCTGCTGCTGCTGCTGATGGGGTTGCTGCTGATGATGCTGGGTTGCAGAGGCAAGCGCACTGAGGGAGTACACTCGCGGGGGAAAGGCAGGGTGGGCGAAATGGGAGTGGGCGACGTGGGAAGAGCTAGGGAAGTGAGGCCACTGCAACGCAGACCCTGCTGCTGCTGCTGCACCACCACCACCACCACCACCACCACCACCATTACCACCACCAGTGGTAGTTCCATCTCTCTCCATGCCTGCACCGATGGCTGTGAGGGAGCGCACTCGAGGAGGAAAGGAGGCAGCAGCAGGTGAAGGGAACTGGAGGGAGGAAGCAGCAGACTCTGGTGGGTGGGACAGAGCACTCGCCTGGGCTGAACCCTGGGCGCCGGCTGAGCCCGAACCAGGTGCATCTTGGCTCGGTGCCGAGCCTGCGGCTGCAGCAGCATCAGCAGCGGAGGTGGCGTGGTTCAGGTCCGAGCCTGGGAAGAAGAGGTTCGGAGAGTGCAGCGGAGTGCTGATGGCACCCAGGGAGATGGCTTGGGGAGGGAAGCAAGATGCAGTGGGGTTGGGAGAGGTAATGGGATAGGGTGTGAAGGGAGATGGTACATAGAAGTACGGTTGAGAGGAGTGGTGAGGGGTGTACCACGGATAAGCATTCTCCTGTGTAACATGGTTACCAGTGGATTCAAGCGGTGGGGGGAAGGGAGAGAGGGATTGCTGAAGCTGGGAGTCTGCTGCTGCAAGGAAGCGGGCCACAGCAGCGGCGGCAGCAGCAGCAGTGGCTGTGGAGGCATGGGGAGGAATGGAGGCTGAGGAGAGTGAGCGAGAGGACGTGCGAGAGGGGAGGTGGTAACCTGTCTGTGTGACTGCAGCCTCTGGTGCTACTAACGGTGGGATGGCTGTTGGTGCTGGTCGCTGTGGTGGTGGTGGGGGGAAACCGGCATGCTCCCCTGCTGGTGCGGCTGCCGTCGCTGCCGCTGCATCCAACGATGGAGATTGCGAAGATGATGGATCCAACGGTTCTGCTGTTGCTGCCGCTGTCTGTGTCTCTCTCACCCCAGCCTTGCCACGCCCACTCCCTTCCTCCTCCCCTCTGCACGCCTCACCACCACCCTTAACCCCTCGACATTTCTTCTCCTTCACTACCCCACAGCCTTTCTTTCCTTCTCTCCTCCTACCCTTCCCCGTCCTGCTTCCCTTTCCCCCTGCATCACCTTCAATCCGCCCTGCCTCCTGACCGCCTCTCCGCCGCTGCTCCTCTCCACCCCTCCCTCTCTCGCCACCTTCCACTCTCTCACTGTCCATAGCAGCCCAGACAACTCCTCCGGCTACCTCTGCACCTGACTGCACCGCTGGCACTTCCTGGATACAGCCAGCAGCGCCAGCAGCAGCGGCAGCGCCAGCAAAATCGGCAGATGTGGCGGCAGCAACGGGAGCAGCGGCAGAGGCAAGGGTGGTGGGAGCAGGTGCAGTGGCTGTGACAGTGGCAGCTGCAACAGCATCTGGTGCACCAGAGATTTCCCCTGCACTTCTATTCTCAGCAGTTCGACTCCCGGCAACATCAGCGGCGGCAACAGCAGCAAGGGCAGCATGAGGAGCAAGTTGAGGGTCAGCGGCAGCGGCAGCAGAAGCAACAGGAGCAGCATAAGGAGCATGGGGAGCAGGAGAAGTGGCGTAAGCAGCAGCCCTGGCCTCGGCCGTCGCTGCCACTCGCTGCGCCACCACCTTGCGATGCGCATTCCGGATCACACTCGATGTCAGCCTCGGCCGAGCCACCACCAGGCTCGGCGCCACTGGGCCCAGGCTGGGTGACGGAGGCGCGGTGGCGGGAGGAGGCACAGGCTCGGCAGGGGCGGAAGCAGAGAGGAGCGGAGGGGAGGAGGGAGCAGTGGAGGAGGTTAGGGGGGATAGGGAGGGAGCAGTGGAAGAGGTTGGGGGGGAGAGGGAGTGCGCGGGGGCCAGAGCTGATGTTGCTGTGTCTGCTGCATCGGAACCAGATGGCGTGGGCGAGGGCTGTGAGTCAAACGTCACATAGGAGGACGTGAGAGAATACTCATACTGTGCTGTTAGGTCGTGCTGGACTGCCAGCTCCCTGTCGTTCTCTCCTCTGCTTCCCTCTATCCCTCCTGTCTCCTCTTCTTGTAGAACCGAACCCAACCACTGCAAGCTCTGTTCCACCACCCCACCCCTTCCAACCGACTCCCCTTGCTCCTCTTGCTGCCCCGCCTCCCGTCCCTCTCTCACAAGCTCTGACCCTTCCCCCTCCCGCTCCCCCTCTTCCTCCGCTTCCCCTTCCCCCTCGTCCCCATCCCCTTCCTCCCATGCCTCCCCTCCCCTCCTCTCTTCCCACTCCGCAACCCTCTCGCGCCACGATGCCTCCTCTCTCGCCCTCCACACAGCAAGCGACTCCTCAAAACCCATCTCCCTCTCCTCAAACCCCGTCTCCCGCTCCTCCCCGCATTCCTCCCTTCCTCCCTCCCCTCCACCCTCCATCTCCCCACTCTGCCTCCCCCTCCCATCACCAGGACCCACCATCTCATCCTCCAATCCCTTCTTGCCACGTGCTCCGTCCCCCTCCCTCTTTCCCAGCCCCTCCCATTTCCTCTCCTCTGCCCACCGCCCCTCTCTCTCCCCTTCATCCTCCCCCTCGCCCTCCTCCTCCCTCACCTCCTCGAGCAGTCGAATCATCTTCGCGCGTCGTCTTGGCGTCATTCCCCCCTGTCCCCCGCCGCACATGCCGCCGCTACTACCGCCGCCAGCAGCGGCCGATGCATCAACGCCGCTGACTAAAGCACTAGCAGCACTAGTCGTAATATCGTTGGAGCTACCACCACCAGTTGAACCCATCAGCCCCTGCCACAGCTTCTTAACGGGTGACGAATCGTCTTCAATCGCGTCCAAGTCCTCTTCCGCTTCTCCCACGTCACCTGGTCTCTCCCCCCTCCCCCCCCCCCCCCCTCGTCCATTCCCCCCATGTCTTCCCCCGCGCATTCTTCCGCTTCCCGCATCCCCCTTTTCGACCCGCGCTTATCCCTCACGCCAAAGCTGTCCTCGCTATAAGCACTCCTTTCACTAGAGCTATCGCTGTCGCTGGTACTCCCTTCCGGCTTCGCCTCTCCTGAATCCGCTTCCGCCCGTTGCGCCGGCTCCTCCGCCACTTCTTTCCGCGCCTCTGCTTGCGCCATCCCGTCGTGCTCCCCGCGCTCAGAGCCCCCTCGGCGCACCACTTCCCGCCAATAGTTCCGCCCGCCGCTCGTCCCGCTTCCCGCATCCCCTCCATCTCCATGCCCCCTTACCCTCCCATCCTCGCCCCCCCTATCCTCGTGCTCCGCTAATCGGCCAGCCGTGTCCTCGATATAGTGTTTCACCGAGCTACCGCATTCTGTGCCCATGCCACCCGTTTCCGGATAGAGGCCTTGCCGCTTCTGCCGCTGCAGCTGCTGTTGCTGCTGCTGCCGCTGCTGCTGCCGCTCTTTCCGCTCCTTCAACAGTCGAATCATCTCCGCCTCCTCACCCCGTCGCTCCCGCTCCCCTGCGCGCGCGTCGTTCCCGCGTCCCACGTCTCTTGCTTCCTCTTCCTTTCCCGTCCCCTCCTCCGCCCCCCTCTCCCTTCCCGCACCTTCCTTACTCAATGCCCCCCGCACTTGCCGCCGCCAAATGCGCTCAGCGAGCTCCGCTTTGGCCCCGGCGAACATGATCCCGCTGTCGCTCGCCTCGTCATCGTCTGACGATTCCCCCGCCGATTCCGCCGCGTTTCCCGCGTGAGAGCCGTTCGATCCCAACCACCGCTCGCTCCTCTCCCCCACCCCCTCGTCCAGCCGCCCCGCCGATTCGCTTCCACTACTCCCGCTCGTTCCGCCGCTTCCGCTGCCGCCCCTGCTGCGTGCGCGACTACCTGCCACGCGGCTTCCGCCAGCAGAGCCATTGGCGAAAGGCACAGCAGTCCCCGCGGCTTGCGCTCCGCCACTCCCCCCTCGACGTCCCGCGGGGCTTCCGCTGCCGAGCCTGGGAACCGGCAGCCTGGTGGGGGCTCCTTCCCCGTGTTGCGCAGTTCCTTCCGCTTGCGCGGACTTGCGGAGGACCGCTGCGGTAGTGTCTGGTGTTGCCAGTCGCACGTGGTCGCACGAGTCGTCGTCAACAACGGCGTCCATGCAGGGAACGCCGCAGAGAAATCGCATGCGACTGCGACGCGGAGCCCGCTTCGCAGAGCTGACGTAGGAAGATCGGTCGGTGGGCACACGTGGGTGGGATGTTCGTTTGACGGAGGCGAGGGAGGGATGGAGTTGGGGGGGGGAGGGGGGGAGGGGGAAAGGGAAAGAGGAAGCGCGGGAGGGGTGGTTGGTTGGGGAAGAGAGAGCGAGAAAGGGGGGAAAGGTGCTTTTTTGGGGGGCTAGCAAAGTGCTGACCGAATCATGAAGCAGGTATAAAAACTGAAACACGGGCTTGGATGTTTCAGCTGCGATGGGTCGCACGTGAAAAAAAGCGCGCCTCATAACCCGCAAGATTACCTCTTTCGCTGCTTCGGGTCGACGTGGTGGACCTTGTGCGACGACTGGCTCGCAGGCGACACCATCGCCTGTCGCACAGCCACCCGAGGCGGGGGAGGGGACGAGAAGGAAACAGAGGAATCATGGGTGAGCCAATTCAGATCCGACACGTGTCGACCGTATGTGACTATACAGATGCTACAACCCTCCAAAGAATATACGCCTGCGAACTAACCTGGATCTTCCATGCCATGTCGCCAAGCCTCCTGTGCTCTCAGCCTTCTCTACCCTCTGCCTTCACTACTATCCTCCGTCGCAACCCAACAACCCCACCAACTTATTGACCTCTAGTAAGCGAATACCAGACGAGCGAGTGGTATGCTCAAGCCCGCTCGCTACTACTCAGTATGTTGCGGAACGCGGATTATGGATGTTACAGGCCCGCAGCCTGCCGCGTGTCGCCCGACCCCATGCAACGGGGCGATCGCGAGAACCCGAAGCTAGTAAGAGGAGAGACAAGGAAGAACACTCTGTCTAAAGCCCTGACGACCGGGGCGCGATAACCTGCTAATGAAAACTAGTTATACTATATCGACACAGCACTCGCGTCGGTTTCGTCAAGCCATCCTGGTTAGGACTGAGCGCCGTCGGCTCTTCTTCTACTGGCCCTGCCGCAGGAGAGAAGGACGTTTGATGAGAGCGCTTGCGTTCCGAACGGAGGGCTTTCTCGTGTCTAGAGCACTGTGTCGAGAGAGAACGAGTCACGGTGACTCAACTCGAACCTATTCTAGAACCGATGTTCCCCCGAAGCGGCACCAAGTGCTGCCGCGTCTGGCGGTTATCTGTCGCTCGCTGGTGGGTTGGTTGCTGCTCACTCGCGGGACTCTCAGTGCAAGTCCTGTTCTCTTGCTACCAGCCAAACCCCGTCTATGCCCGTCTGGCCTACGCGCAAACTCCCTGTGATCTATGTCTCTCTGCGTTGGTTGGTAGGTTTGCTGTGCCTGGTCTCACTGTTTGGGGATTGACACACTTCGGTCAACGCTCTACTAGAGGAACCCCCTTCCGTAGCCCCTGCCACGTAGGCTGGCATTTCGTACGGACTACGGAGCCTACGTGTATTTGAACAGGACTGCGGCGGATATCCATCCATACGTCGATGCACTGTCGAATGGATGGATCCTTAGTACGGCACAGAGCGGAGTCGCGTACTCGAGTACTGTACTACTAATAGGTTGCGCAGTTGTCGCAGGAACAGCTGCATGTGCGTGTGTGATGTGGAGGTGTGGAGTGTTCAAGCCTAGCTTTCAAAATAAGCGCCCCCTGGTCTGGGAAGCCGAGGCGCAAAAAACCAAGGCCAGTGCGTGGCTTGGATTTCCTGAGCAATGTGCATTCGGCAATGTGCAATGTGGAATGTGATGGGTCCGCGCGACTCGTTGCTGGCTTGGAGCGGCTCGGTTTGCTCAGAAGTTCCCCACAACTCGGTTTCGTGCACCTGTTTATAATTGCGAAAGCTTGCTTGTTACCGTGACACCCAGCTTTACGTCGTTGGAGAAATTTGCAGGCGCAGAGGAGGTGAATTGAAGGTTAGCTTCGCGAAAATTTCTTGAACCCACGTTGGAGTGATGCGAGCGATTTCGCAACCCTGGTTGACATCGCAACGCAATTCCTAACACAATCCAGCTGGAGTTCGCCACACATATCAGTCGCCAGGGGCGGCAATGATTTCAATTCCGTTACATGTTACACATGGTGTTATATAACCTACGGTATTATATAAAAGCATCACACACATAACAGCTATCTTGGCTCCATTGTGGACATTCTCGCATTCCATCCCGGCTTTCACTATAAACAGGCCTCAGTACCTATGTGGGAAGCCTTATGGCATTCTGCTAATGCATGCATGCTCAGCCAGTTCTGCATGATCTTCCCCATGCCGCTCCCCATGCTGCCTTCCATCTCTATCCAACAAGCCTAGCTCTGGGTTACAGAATATATCATTCTCCCCTTCACACTCCTGCTTCATCTGCTCCTCTCCCTCCCGCTTCATCAGTCTCTCCTCTTCATGCCACTGCTTATCCCTCTCCCCTTCCTCCTGCTCTTGTAGTTGTTGCCGATGCTGCTCCTCCTGCAACTCTTGCCGCTCCTGCTGTAGGTGCGGCACACCACAATCCTCCTCCGCTCCCTCTATAACCTCAGCTCCCTCTATAACCTCACCTCCCTCTATACCCTCTTGCGCCATCCCTTGCCCCTGCGCTGCCACTCGCTCCTCCTCTCCATGCTCTGACCCCTCCTCACACCTCTCGTTGCTCTGCCCCAGCCGGGCTGACAGCAGCTGCTCCGAGTGACCCTCTGCACAGCTCCCGTTGTTCTGCTCCGCTTGTGTGGGCGGCGTCAGCTGCCCTGTCTGCTCTGCTTGCACGGGCAAGGGTTGCCCTGCCTGCTGTGGCTGTTCTGGCTGTTGGGGCTGCGGAGGCTGCAGGAGCACGTAGCGGCGGCAGAGGGGGCAGGAGCAGCGCGTGCGCAGCCACTCCCCGATGCACGACACGTGGAAGTAATGGCTGCATGCCGGCAGCTTCCTCAAACTCTCCTGCTCGTCGTAGTCCGCGAGGCACACCGCACAGCTGTGAGACGGGAAGAGAAGGGGGGAGAAGGCGGAGGGCAGAGACGGAGAGGAATGAGGATGAAGAAGTAATGGCTGCACGCCGGCAGCTTCCTCAGACTCTCCTGCTCGTCGTAGTCCGCCAGACACACCACACAGCTGAGAGGGGGGAAGGAAGGGGGTGGGAGGGGGGAGTGCAAGAGGAATGAGGGATGAGCGACGGGGGAGTAGTGGCTGCACGCCGTCAGCTTCCTCAAACTCTCCTGCTCGTCGTAGTCCGCGAGGCACACCGCACAGCTGAGAGGGGAAGGGGGGGTTGAGAGGGAGGAGAGGAAGAGGAATGAGGGATGAGGGATGATGGATGATGGATGAGGATGACGAGAGAATAGGGGGAAAGGGGAAAAAGGGAGGGAGATGGGAGGCTGCAGTGAGGGCCATGAGAGAGAGGAAAGGGGTACAAGAGCACGGAACCATGGTGGAGAGGGGAATGATGAAGGTGAATGGCAGGAGTGGGAATGGCATGCAGCGTGGGGTTAGCCAGGCAAGAGGATGGAAAGCGGGATATGCTGAGAAAGGAGAGTGCAGTGCAGTGGAGTGGAGTGCAGTGGAGTGCAGTGGAGTGCAGTGGAGTGCAGTGGAGTGCAGTGCAGTGCAGTGGAGTGCAGTGCAGTGCAGTGCAGTGCAGTGCAGTGCAGTGGAGTGCTAGAAGCTCATTGCTAAGCATGCATTGTTCGGAGGAATGCGGCACTCACTGAGCGTCATCGGAGGACTCAAAGAGGTCGTCTCTGAACTTCACCAGCGGGAACGAGTCCACCAGCACCCTGTCCACCCCTGTTAGCACCGCCTCCACGTGCTGATGGGGGGGCAGGGGCAGGGGCAGGGAGGGGAGTGGAGGGGAGGGGAGGGGAGGGGAGGGGAGGGGAGGGGAGGGCGAGTGTGGGCCAGAATCAGCGGCACATAGAGTGAGCGGGAATGACTCCACCAGTGCCCGGTCCACGCCTGTTGGCACCGCCTCCACGTGCTGATGAGGAGGGGAGGGGGGGGGATGGGATGGGATGGGTGGAGAGGGGAGGGAAGGGGAGAGAGGGCGCGTGTGGGGCGGCATCAGCGCCCGGTCCACCCCAGTTGGCACTGCCTCCACGTGCTGATGCGGAGGGGAGGGGGGGGGATGGGATGGGATGGGTGGAGAGGCGAGGGAAGGGGAGGGAGGGCGCATGTGGGGCGGCATCAGCGCCCGGTCCACCCCTGTTGGCACTGCCTCCACGTGCTGTGATGGATGGAATGACCAGGGAGGAGCGGAGTAGTAGGCGACTTTGTGAGCTGATTTTTTAGTCGACTCAAAAATCAACTGGCCGGGGAGGAGTGGGGCAGTAGGCGAATTTGTGAGCAAGATGCAGACCGATAAGACATGGAAGGAGAAGAAGAAGATATGCAGGTAGTAATAGGGCATGTGCATGGAACAGGAGTAGAGGAGGACTGGGGTGGGAGCAATACCACAGCCACTCATCACACACCCTGTCTGTCTAAACCAAGCACCTGCCCACAACAGCACTTACCCTGTCCACGTCAGCACTCACCCTGTCCATGTCACCGAGAGCGGAGAGCTCCACGTCAGCAGCAGGGGGCGGGCGGCGGATGACACAGCGCAGCACGATGACGATGAGCACGAGCAGCAGGAAGGCGAGCACCGCGTAAATTATTATTATGTAGGGCGAGTCAAAGAAGCTGGGGGAGTCTGTGGAGGGTTGTGGGAGGATGAGAAGAGGAGGGAGACGGTGTGCATGTGGAGAAAGGGGGGGGAATTAGGACGAGCAGCAGGAAGGCGAGCACTGCGTAGATTGTGATCATGTAGGGCGAGTCGAAGAAGCTGGGGGATTCTGTGTGGAGGGTGGGAGGTGGGGGAGTGCCTGATGGGGTGGAGACTGATGGGGTGGGAACTGATGGGGTGGAAACTGATGGGGTGGGAACTGATGGGGTGGAGACTGATGGGGTGGAAACTGATGGGGTGGAAACTACTGGGGTGGGAACTGATGGAGTGGAAACTGATGGGGTGGAAACTACTGGGGTGGGAACTGATGGGGTGGGAACTGATGGGGTGGGAACTGATGGGGTGGGAACTGATGGGGGGGAGTGCAAGGGGGTGTTGAAACACACCCTTGCACTAAAAACTACCTCTGTACTTGAATTCAAGCTCGAACTCGCACTGCTGGTGCACATAGTAGTTGAGGTTGAAGATGCCAAACATGTACGGCCCCTCCCCTTTGCCCGTGACCCCACCCCTTCCCACTCCCACTCTCCTTTGCGCGTCTACCCTCCTTTCTACTCAACTGACCTTTGTACTTGAACTCGAGCTCGAACTCGCAGCTCTGGTGCACGTAGTAATTGAGGTTGAAGATGCCGAAGGTGTACGGCCCCTCCAGGGACGAGTTGACCACGTCAAACAGCGACACCAGCGTGTCGTTTGTCACTCGCACCGTGAACCGGTAGTCGTTTTCGAGCAGAGAAGGTACCGCTCCATGCCTTGCTACCAGGCTCGCTTGTCCGCCTTTGCGGGTGAAGCTGCGGGTGGGTGGGGCGCAAGAAATGGGAGCAGCAGGAGAGGGCAGGTGGTCGTTGGTCGTTGGTCACCTTGCCCCTCCAGCGACGAGTTCACGACGTCAAACAGCGACACCAGCGTGTCGTTGGTCACGCGCACCGTAAACCGGTAATCATTCTCCAGGAGGGAGGGCATGGCGCCTTGACGTGCCACCAGGCTTGCTTGCCCTCCCTTGCAAGTGAAGCTGAGGGTGGGTGGGGGCCAAGAGATGGGAAGGAAAGGAAAGGGACAGCAGCGTACCGTTCCTCACGCGCACCGTGAAGTGGTAGTCATTCTCCAGTTGGGAGGGGACCGCGACTTGTCTCGCTACTTTACTCGCCTGCCCTCCCTTGCGCGTGAAGCTGGAAAGGAGGGGAAACGGAGGGTGGGTGGGAGGGTTCACATGATGGGAAGGGAAGGAGAGAAACAGCAGCAGCGTGTCGTTGGTCACGCGGACCATGAATGAAAGGTTAGCCGTTCTCTAGTCGGGATGGCATGGCCCTTTACTGTGGGGGGAAGTGGCCACGCGCGGGTGAAGCTGGAACGGGGAGAAGTGGGAGGTATGAGAAGGAGGACGGGTCCATGGGTTGGCGACGGGGAGAGAAAAGGAGAGTGTCGATGGTTTCTTGCACCGTGAGAAAAACAATAGTCCTCTCAGTTGAAAGCACCTGAAGGCTCACCTGATGACGATCTGCTTGTTGGTGGAGGGGTCAAAGGTGAACTGCACGTACGTCCATCGCCCCGGAGGCAGCACTCCCTTCAGCGCCTTGCCTAGCTCCGCTGTCTGCAGCCCTGTCATGAGGGGGGAGGAGGGGAGGGGGAGGGGAAGAAACGGGAATCAGATGGCCAGCAGCAGCACGCCCCTCACTGCCTTGCCCACCTCTGCTGTCTGCAGGCCTGATGAGGGGAAATAAAAAAGGATGGTGGCGGTGGGTGGGGGGGGAAGAGAGGGGTGGGTGAGAGATGGAAAACGAATGGCTGGAGGTAGCACGCCCCTCACTGCCTTTCCTAGCTCCGCTGTTTGCAGGCCTGATGAGGGGAAATGAAATGAGAACGGCCAGGGAAAGGAAGGGGGAGGGTGGGAAACGAGGCGTGAAACGTATGGCTGGAGCCAGCACAGCACTCCCCTCACCGCCTTGCCCCTCCGCTGTCTGCAGCCCTGATGAGGGGAAATACAAACGGGGGAGGAGGGGGGGGGGAAAGGGAGGGAGGGGGAGGAAAGGAGGGGACGAGGTGTGAAACGGATGGCGCAGAGGCAGCACGCCCCTCACTGCCTTGCCCAGCTCTGCTGTCTGCAGCCCTGTGCAGCGGCAGGGAAGCAAAAACGGGTTGGGATTGGGGAGTGGGTGAGGGGTGGGGGTTGGTCTGGGGGAATGGCATGAAATGCGGCAGAAAAAGGATGGCCCGGAAGCAGCGCGCCCTTCACTGCCTTGCCCAGCTGTGCTGCCTGCAGAGCTGTGCCACAGCAGGGAATGAAAGTTCGAGGGTGACAAGAGACATCAACAAAGGATTGCACCCCGTTCGCCCCTTCACTGCCCCGCTCACCCTCTCTGCTGGTCTAATCCTCACCCTCTCACTGCTCCCCTCCATGCCAGTCCACGCCCCGCCACTCACCTCCCTGGCAGAAGCTTCCTGCAGAGTCCGGATTGCAAACGCACTGCGTCTCCGCGCCCCCAACCCCTCCATCCGCCCCTCCACCCCCCCCTCCGTCCGCCGTCAGCGCCTGGCAGAACCCCGCGGGCCACCCACAGTCCCACGGGCACAGCGCCCTGCCCTCGCGCCCCACAGCCAGCCGATACTCCAGGCGGAACCCGCCTGTCTCCCTCAGATCCACATCGTTGTTCAGCACCGCCACCAGGATAATGCCCGGTTCAGTGCGGTTCCAGACGATCTGGTGGCGGTCGAGGCGCTGGCGGAAGGAGTCCATGTCAGCAAAGCCGTTGAAGTCGAAGACGGTGGGCATGCCGAAGGGCAGGAAGCCCTGCTCCTGGCGCTTGGCGAATAGCACGAGATCACCTGCTGCTCGCTCCATCTGAATGAGAAGTTTGGTGTTCGGCTGGGTGACCTGGGGTAAGGGGTGCAGCAGGGTGGAGGCGGAATGAGGAGGGGAAGGGAGCACGAGGGAAGGGCAGGAAGCCCAGCTCCTGGCGCTTGGCGAATAGCACCAGGTCGCCCGCTGCTCGCTCCATCTGTATAAGGAGCTTGGTGTTTGTCTGGGTCACCTGGGAGGGGAAGGGGGGAGGGGGAAGAGTGGTTGAGGGGGAGGGCAGAGAGTGGGAGAAGGGAGAGGGAGAGGGGATGCAAGGAGGGAAGAACAGGAGACGTCGATACGTTGTAGCCGAATACTGACGGCAGGGAAGAGGGTCATGACACATGGATTGGAAACCAGGGGCAGAGGCGCTTGAATAGGATAGAATACCTTTTGAGGCGCCTCAAAAGAGGCGCCTGGATGAAATACCCACCTGGATTTGGAAGAAGGCCCATTGCCCGGGAGCAAGGGTCTGCAGACCTGGCTGGATGTCATGCACCACTGAGGGGTGAGATGGGGTGAGATGGGGTGAGATGGGGTGCAATGGGGTGATGGTGAAATGGGGTGGGATGGAGTGAGGTAGGGTGAGATGAGGTGAGATGGGGTGAGATGGGGTGAGATGGGGTGAGATGGGGTGAGATGGGGTGAGATGAGGTGAGATGGGGTGAGATGGGGTGAGATGGGGTGAGGGGCACACACGATTGACGGGAACAGGAGAATGGCAACCGTTGATTGAGAGGTGGACGGAATGCAAGCGAGCATCTGCTGCGAGCAAGCAGGGCAGCGACGACAGTGAAGTGAGGGAAAAGGTGAAGACGGGGAGGAGGGAGGGATGGAACAATGCAAGTGATCCTTCCTCTTCGCATTTCCCCCCCCTCCAAGAATTGCATCCGCACACAACCATGGCCATCCCCACCTGCTGCCTCCGCAATCCCACCCTCCCTTCCCCATGACTCACCATCAGCGCAAGCCGTGTCGCCCCACCCCTTGGGGCACTGGCACACTCCCCGTGTCTCCCCTTCCTCCTCACTCTGCCCCTCACTCCCCGCTCCCACCACGCCCATCCCCACCTCCTGCCTCAGCAATCACACGCTCACCCTCACTGCCCTAAACCCTTCCCCAATGTCTCACCATCGGCGCAAGCAGTGCCGCCCCACCCCTTGGGGCACTGGCACACTCCCCCTCCCCCGCACACGCCCCGCCCACTGCAGTTCAGCGGACACCCCCTGCCCTCTGCGCGCGCACGGGGTGCGGAGGGAAAGGGAAGAAGGGGTTGGGAGGGAAGGAAGGAACGATCCGAATTGAAGAACGCGGGGAGATGAAGAGTGAAGTCTGGGAGGGGGAAAACTACACAGAAGAGAGCAGACGAGCAGGGGAGGCATCGCGTGAGCAACCGGAGAATTCTCATAAGTGGTGTGAGAGAGAAGTGTGAGAAGGGAGGTGGGGATGGCAGATGGGAACAAAAGGATGCTTATTCCCAGGGGCAGTGCAGCGGGTGTTGTTTGGTTTGAGTTGAATGAACGCTCACGGCAGCAGCAGGCACGATGAGCGTTCATTCCACTCAGAGCTCAGAGCTCACGCGAGCAGAAGGCGCGCTCCAGCTCAACACCCATCCCCCCACCCCCCCCCCTCCTGCTTAGATTTGAGTTGGATAAGAACTCACGGGAGCAGAAGGCACGGATGGAGAAACCGAGGTCCTGCCCCTCCGCAATGTACGAGTCGCTGAATATGCCCACTATCAGCTCCGTCGCGTTAACGGAGCCGTTCTTAACGAGGTCGTCCTGCGGCACGCTCACTATCTGGTACGGCTGCCCCGACCTAAAATCTGCTCCCGGGGAAAAGGCGGGGAGAAAGACGTGGAGGGAGAGAGAAAGAGAGAGGCGAGATGAAAACGGAGAAAGGGATGGAAGCACGAACGGCACTGAAGCGGGCCAAAGAGGGGGGCCAAGCGGTAGGCAAAGAAGTGGGGAAACAGGTGTTAGGGTTTGCAGGGAATCTGATTGCAGGCATTGGGCAACGCGGTGAGCTCTCTTACTGGGGTAGTCTATGCTCGTGTGGTCGTCCAGGCGATACTGCAGCGTGTTGGTAACCAGCACGGTGGGCACTTCGCCAGCGCTGTTCAGCATGAGCATGGGCAGGTAGAACACGGACGTGTCGTTGCCCGGCGCAAACAGCCCCCATATCTCCACATTCACGTACCACCGCGCGTCCCCGCCGCTCCCGCCTACCCCTCCTGTGTTCCACCCCGCCGCTGCCCCTGCTCCTCGCCCTTCTCCGCCTCCTGCGGCGCCGCTTGCGGCGCCACACGTGCTGGGGACGCGGAAGTAGGATGTGACGCCGGATCGGACGGTGGCGTTGCGCGCTTGCCCCGAGAGTGGCAGCAACGGCTTGGAGAGTGGCAGCAACGGCTTCCACATGTCGGTGGGCGGCACGGAGTCTAGGGTGGAAGGTAAGGGGAGGGGGAGGCGGGGAGGAGGGACGGCGGGACGGCCGGAAGGGGCAGGGACGAGGGAAGAGGGAGGGGAAAAGCTGAATGGCAGGCGGTATACCCGAATGCACTGAAGCGCAATGGCGAATCAGGTAAATTCGACAGCATGCATGGGGGAAATCGCGGATGAAGGACGCGACGCAAGGCTGTTAGCCTCACCCTGGTTGGCGTAATCAGCGCTGTTGGCGAGGGATGGGGAGGATAGCGATGCTGCACACACGAGACAGCGGGCGGAAACGTGAGAGGCGGTCCAGGAGCAGTATCTTTGCCGGTTTCGGAATGATTCTCAAGCACGAGTCGTCGGGATCGAACTTATTGGGATTAGCCAGGGTAAGAGAACGAGTGCGACTTACAGCAGACGTATATAGCGGTCAAGAAGACGATAAGACCGCTACGATCAAATCTACGCGCCATCAACAAGAAAGTACACGGCAAGAAGCTATTGTGGCAGACAGTCAGGAATTCGAACCGCGAAATGGATAGACCGCGAAAGTCGAAGGGACAACGAGCAGTTTCAGAAAGCTAAGTTCAGCAAGCCAGGCGCTGGAATGCGCCTAGCACAATCCATGATCAGGAGAGAACGCGTTCAGGATTGTCTTGGTAACCGCCGTCCTTGCACAAAGTTAATCGCCACAATTATGGATGAGCAACCCTAAAATCCACCACCACCCTGTGGTCCCGTTCCTATGAACTGCACCAAACCAGCTGTGCAGTGAAACGGTACTCTCTCGGGTGATCGTGCGTTGTGTCACCCTTGGCTTGGCGCGTGCCCACTAGCCACAGCCCAATCTCGAGCCGAGCCTCTGTATTCGGCTTTGGTTGGGGAAGCAACTGCACGGTTAGGCAGGGTAGAATCGATTCCACCAATCACAGACCATCATTCTTCTTTCTCTTCCCTTAAGTTTGCTGACCGAAACCGAACTACTCCTCATCCCACAAGCACGATTTCCTCTTAGGGACTGACGGCTGTAGTGTAATTTGAGCTGCCCACCACTTTGCCGATTTCGGCGAGGCTAGGTAGAGGTTTGGCCCGTTGGTCAGTCACCATGAAATCGAACACCCTCCACACCGACATTTTCGCCACCCACCGAAAGCTCAGCTAGTTGCCGCGCTTTCCGTAACCTGAGAACCAAAATCCTCCTACGAGCCCTTCTCTGATTGCTAAAAGCACGTAGAAGCCCCAACATGGTGCAGAATGTTATCAAATCACATTATATTCACAGACAAGTCCCTGACTGTCTAAAAAAGGAGCTGATCTAACACTGCTTCAAAGCATGCCTCAAAGGACTGGTTTCCAACCCTCTGAGCCTGTAACTCGGCTTCCTCCACCAGGGATTCGATCAGAGAAGGGACATCCAGGTCATCTCTAACCATCATGGATCCGATCTCGAACGGAGTCTTGCCTGCCGATGCACCCTTCTTGAGAAGCATGGTAGCAGCTTGAAGCACCCTGATGCATGCTGGGTTGAGAGACCAGCCACTCTCCTTGAGAATCGCAATATCATTGTTGGCATCGAGCTTAGATATGTACTCCAGAGTCTCCTCAGCGAAGGGAACCTTGGATTGGGGCCAATAAAGCCACTCAAACGTGCAATCCTCGAACTGCAAACAAAAAAAACGGAAAACAAAATTAGTGGCAAATCTGGAGGGAAAAAACAGGACAACACTGAAGAGTGCATGAGAGAAATGGAAGGCAACAGTGGAAGCGAGGAGAAAGCGAGGGGATCGCAGAGAGGTAGGGAAAGCGAGGGGATGGCAGAGATGTACCAAAGGGAAAGCGAGGGGATGGCAGAGAGGTACCAAAGGGAAAGCGAGGGGATGGCAGAGAGGTACCAAAGGGAAAACGAGGGGATGGCAGAGAGGTACCAAAGGGAAAACGAGGGGATGGCAGAGAGGTACCAAAGGGAAAACGAGGGGATGGCAGAGGAGGTACCTAAGGGAAAGCGAGGGGATGGCAGAGAGGTACCTAAGGGAAAACGAGGGGATGGCAGAGGGGTACCAAAAGGGAAAACGAGGGGATGGCAGAGAGGTACCAAAGGGAAAGCGAGGGGATGGCAGAGAGGTACCAAAGGAGCAGCAAACTTGCACGAAAGGCAGCAAGGGCACGGAACTGAAATCTGACCTTATCAGGAATGCAGTAACCATGATCAATCGGAATCAGCTTGACCCCACTCGGACCGTCGATCCTCTGTACAAGAATGTTGGCACCATTCCGGTCCGTGTTGGCAAGCCTCATGTCCAGAACCGCGATCTTGTGAACCTCCGTCGCAGGGAAGCGCGACGGTCCCATGTCCTCGCAGTTGCTGAACGATTGAACGAACTTCTGAAGCGACCCGACCTTCTTCCCTTCCAGGTCATCCAGCGGACTCTTAGGAGAGCCAGAGCGAGGGAAAAAGCTGGCGGAGCAGCCAACAAGCGTGGTCGGAGGAACGCTTGCGTAACCCTCGCTGTCTCCTTCGTTCAGTGGATGATCCAGAAGGTAAGCTGCGACTTCGCGGAAAGCACCTTCTCCCACTCGAGTGCCGCGTTTCAACCCTTCCCCATCAAGACTCGGAGCCATCCCGCGGGGGCAATTTACAGCGAGAGGCTCCTCATCCATGGGCTTAAATACAGCTACTGTCGACGCGCCCGAAGCGTCAGACATGAGATAAGTACCACCCGAGCCGTCAGAAGTCAGATGCGGAACGTGGCCTTCGAGAAGGCCGGTTCCCACATCCCTCATCATCGCCCGGAAGCCTTCCACTTTCAGAGAAGGATGATTTCCAAGCATTGTCGGCTGGATTGTTCCACTGGATGTGCTTCTCGAGCAGGGAAGGGCCAGAGGAACAGCTGCAGGGCATTCTTCGTCGCCAACCTCCTGTATTGACGGCAACGACGCAATCTCCATAGCATTGACGGAAAGCTCCATTGTCCGGCCCGGACCAGACTTTGCATGAACACGAGCATTCTTCCGCACGAGAAGATGCAAATGGCAGGATCCCACGGCTCCGAAATCCCGGTGCTTGTCCAAATCGTTGATGAGACAGTGGTCCTCCAGAGGTGTGCCGGCAAGGACGAGCTCCACGTCGTCCGAGCTCGAAGGAAGCTCGCGCTCGCATATCCGCTTCTTGATGTCACGAACCCGATGATTCGCAGCTCGCTCCACAGAGAACAGGTACTCCTGAAATTACAACATTAAGGAATGAGAAGGGAATAAGCAAGGAAATTGGTAAGGCTATCTGATACTTGAACAGGCGATGTTTGTGGAACATCAACTTACGCCAAAATCAGGTAAACGAATTGTAAAACGAAGAGAAAGAGCGGATATGCGGAAACTACGTCGCAATTTGATGATCAGGAAGAGCACATACCTTTCCAGAGAACGTGGCGACTGAGACGAAGAGAAGATCTGACATGCCGAGCACAAACTGCATCGTCTGGGGTTGCGAGGAGGGGAGGCCATCGTGCACAGACTCTTCCGAAGCACACGGTCCTGCCACTATGCGCTGGTGCTTGGCATAAAAGCCACGGCTAAGACCCTTCAGCTTGAGATTGACGGATGAAATGCCATCGGCAGCCAACAGTCGGCGAGGAACCTGACTTGAAGATGAGCCTATGTACATCTGAATGAAATCATTCGGCAGGAAATCCTCGAAGGCAGAGACCCGCGAAACGACAGCGCCGGACCCATTGATGGTGGGGGGCTTGATAAGGGAGTTGGCAAGCGACATGGCTGCGAGATAAGCTGAAGGACCTCCCAAGAATACTACTCCTCCCCACGCAAATCTCTACCCACAATTCACCAATTCGGTCTAAAGCATGCAGAACCGATAACGGAAAAGTCAAATGTGGAAGTTAGGCTACTGCTATGCTGTGAAGACAAACTCCCTAGGGAAATGGCTGTGAAGGTGAGACTGAAATTAGGGCTGGAAAATGAAAGGTTGATGTGAAGCAGCAGGCAGGTCACAGCGGCAGCACCAAGAGCAGGAGGGACGGCGGGAGGGAGGCACAGGGGGGCGGTGGGGTTTCGTGGGGAGGGGAGGTGGTGGGGGTGCGGGTGGGGTGGGGGGAGAGGTGCTGCTCGGCCATGCGGGACCTTGGGGGAAGGTTTCAGAGAAGGTGATCGGACAAGGGGGAGCGGAGGCGCGAGAAAGGTGAAAGAGCGGGAGAGCAAAAGAGCGGAAGAGCAGAAGGGCGGAAGGGCGGAGGAAGATGAAGCATGAAGGGGACACTGCACAGCTCCTGCCACAATTTCCTTCCCCCACTTCCATCCGCCCCAGTTTGGCTGACGGGATTTTTTGGCAGGCGTGCTAGGCGGAGGGGAGCTAACGTGGCGTGCAAGTCATACACGTGCTCTAATGGGCACTAATTGGTGGAGAGGTTTCATTCGCCAAGAGAAGCTGCAGGAGAACTTGGCGACAGATTCTTGCACAAAAAACTGACCAAATTTGGTTTAACGGTCTTCGCCGGTCCGTCATGTCCAGTGATCATGCAACAAAGATTGACTGAGGAGAGCACATGCAGCATTTTAGCGAGGGATGAATAAGGATAATCCAGTCCAGATGTCACTTCAGTGGAGTTACAATAGCTCTTCATAAACACTTATGCTCTGAGCTGGTTTCTCCATTTTGTAAGGTGTTACGGGTGCAATGAATCTAGGTAGTGAGGATTGCACTAGAGTGTTCAATGAGTACAAAGTATGAGCGAAGCATGAGCGAATACTTATACGTGAAAATGTCCAAACGGTAACGCGGTGCGTGCGAGCTAGCTAGTGCTACGCTGGCGCGAGGTTCGGGCTAGTCCCAAAGCGTAGGCCAACTCGGCTGCTCCAGCCTCCAGCAGTGCGAGGTTTGGTGAAACAGTGCGCGCAAAGTTGGCGAAGCCCCGTTAGCAGTAACGGGCGAACATCGACTGCTGCTGTACGCGATGTCGACGGTCGCGGTAAGGGATAGCGAAAAAAAAAAAAAAACCTTACACTACCCCCCCCCCGTTGAGAAGCCCCTTCCGCTACGCGAGTGCGTGTATATCGCGGAAACAACGGTTCCTCATATACACTTGCAGGGCAGGGTGTTTTTCGATGTTGGCCAGGGGCACCCATCTATCCTTAGTTGGCGTGCGGTCCTTCCAACGAATGAGGAACTCGATCCTCTTGATGCCTGTGGGATGGCGAATCCGATGGCTCATACTTTTTTCGGGCTCGATGATCGGCTCCAATGCAGGGCGAATCATGGATGGCGGGCGGTGATGAGGCAGTTGGCTCATGCTTGGGATGTAAGGGCAAAGCAGGCTGACGTGGAATGATGGGCTGATGTACCAGTCTGTCGGCAACAGTAAGTGGGCGGTAACCGGGGTGATCATGTGGCTGATTTGAAATGATCCACGGTAGCATGGTCGTAATTTCGGTAGGACGGGCAGTCTTAAGTTCAGTATGTCGAGCAGTACGTAATCTCCTGACTGGTACGTGACTGGGCGGCGGTGGCGGTCAGCGTCGCGTTTAGCGATGACGTTGGCTTTTTTAATTGCTTCGGCGACTCTGATGCGGGCAGCTTGCAGAATCTCGGCGAATTGCTGTGTGCGTGGCGTTGGGTTGTCCCGACTCGGCGTCATGGGTACTGATAGATTTTGCCTGTAGTTCAGGTAAAATGGGGACTGCTGCGTCGTCGCTGACGTGGCGTTGTTGTAGGCGAACTCGATCAGCGGCAGCTGCTGCTCCCAAGTTGTCGGGTCGTCGCACATGGCCCGAATCAACTGCTCCATCGTCTGATTGGTCCGCTCCGTTTGACCGTTGGTCTCGGGGTGGTACGATGAACTGAACTATAGCCTGGTCCTGAACTGCTCCCATAGGTTCTTACAGAAGTTGCTGGTAAACTTCTGTCAGATATATATGCCTTAGCCTATGTAGGCTGTAGTGGGGTAGACACTAAGGGGTACAGCTTTCATATTTGTATCTCATTCCTAGTCCATTCATTCCTGTTTCATTCTTCACATGGTATAGAGCGGGTTCCCACATGGGACCGTTCCTTCCTAAGGGCCCACCATAAGTAACATTTTTTTTTAGCTGCCCGAAGCGCGTCGCGCCCTGCCCTAATTTTTTTCGCGGCCCCCTAGCTGCCCCTACGCGATTCCTACGCGGCCCCTACGCGGCCCCTACCCGGCCCCTACGTGGCCCCCTGCGCGGCCCCTAATCCGCCCCTGACGCGGCCCCTAAGCCGCCCCTGACGCGGCCCCTACGCCGCCCCTGACGCGGCCCCTACGCCGCCCCTACGCGGCCCCTACGCCGCCCCTGACGCGGCCCCTACGCCGCCCCTGACGCGACCCCTAAGCCGCCCCTGACGCAGCCCCTGCGCCGCCCCTGACGCGGCCTCTACGCCGCCCCTGCCGCGGCCCCTACGCCGCCCCTGACGCGGCCCCTACGCCGCCCCTGACGCGGCCCCTACGCCGCCCCTGACGCGGCCCCTACGCCGCCCCTGACGCGGCCCCTACGCCGCCCCTGACGCGGCCCCTACGCCGCCCCTGACGCGGCCCCTACGCCGCCCCTGATGCGGCCCTTACGCCGCCCCTGACGCGGCCCCTACGCCGCCCCTACGCGGCCCCTACGCCGCCCCTGACGCGGCCCCTACGCCGCCCCTGACGCGGCCCCTACGCCGCCCCTAAAACGGCCCGGCCCGGCCCTGTCCCTGACGCGGCCCCTACGCGGCCCCTCCGCCGCCCCTAAAAGGCCTCGGCCTCGACTCTGTCCCGGACCTGCCCCGGCCCCGACCCCGTCCCGGACCTGCCCCGGCCCCGACCCTGTCCCGGCCCCGTTGCTGCTCCGTCCCGGACCCTGCTCGGCCCCGACTCTGTCCCGGACCTGCCCCGGCCCCGACCCTGTCTCGGCCCCGCTGCTGCCCCGTCCCGGACTCTGCTCGGCCCCGACCCTGTCCCGGCCCTGTTCCGGCCCCGACCCAGTCCCGAACCTGGCGGCTCTGCCCCTGGTAAGAGCCTAGCCGGGCCGAGCCGCGCGGCCGAGCCCCACTGCACTGCCGAGTCGCCCTGCCGAGTCGCACTGTCCTGCCTAGCTCAGTTGCACTGCTGCCGCTGCTAGTCTGCTGCTGCTCCTATCATGGCTAGTCCTAGTCTTCTCACCTTTGATGCTGAGGGTCGAGCGGTTGCCTTTGATGTCTGGCTAGATGATCTGCAGCTTTTCCTTCAGTGCGATAGCAAGGATGGCCTCTCCCTGTTTGACCTTACGTCGGGCGCCTCTACTGCCCCTGCTGTTGATGCTGACAGTACCGTTCGCTCGCAGTGGCTCACGCGCGATGCTGCTGCCCGCCTTGCTGTGCGCAGTCACCTACCGTCTACTGAGCGCGCGCACTTTAGTCAGTACAAGAGTGCTAAGACTCTGTACGACGCAGTAGTTGGACGCTACTCTTCCCCTGCCACTGCTGCGCTCAGCCGCCTCATGCTACCGTACCTGTTCCCTGACCTCGCTGCCTTTGCCACAGTCACTGACCTCATTACGCACCTCTGCACTAGTGACACTCGCTACCGCGCTGCGCTTCCTGCTGAGTTCTGCGCCCAGAACCCCCCCCCATGTACATCACCCTCTACTACCTAGTCACTCGACTCCCTGACACTCTCCGCTCTGTCAAGGACCACTTCCTCTCTCTTTGCCCTACCACCCTCACTGTCGACCTCCTCGAGGAGCGCCTCCTTGCAGCAGAGACTAGTATTACCGCTGTAGGCGCCTCTCGTGGTGACCCCCATACCCCTTTCTTTGAGGGGTGCTCCCCCGTTCCTCTTTTGCCCTCTGTTGCCTCTGCTGCTGCTGTCGACCTTGTTGGCACCGAGTCGGTCAGCGCTGCGTCTGCTCCTAGTGAGAGGCGCCGCATCAGCAAGGGCAAGCGGGGCAAGGGCGCTGGAGGAGGTGGTGGGGGAGGCGGTGGTGGCGGTGGAGGCGGAGGAGGGGGTGGGGGTGGGGGTGGTGGCAGAGGTGGGGGCTTTGGAGGCAGCGGTGGAGGTGGAGGCGGCGGTGGCGGTGGCGGGAGGGGTGGAGGCGGCGGAGGCGGCGGCGGCGGAGGTGAAGCTGGCAGAGGCGGAGCTGTGCAGCGGGGACCCCAGCAGCAGCAGCGCTCTCGTGAGACCCCTTCACCCCAGCAGCTTCGTGAGTGGTACGCGGGGCGCCAGGGGTCTGGAGGTACTGGTCCCTGTACCTACGTCTGCGCACCGGCGACCGCACTGGAGAGCAGTGTGGCGGCCTGCACGCCACCCAGCGCTGCTTCGGTCGCCTGACGGACGCCTGGTGTGCCCAGTTCCCGGACGCCACTGAGATCCCTCGTTGGAGTGATCAGCTCAGGTCGGGGGTAGCTATCTTTGATCTTGACTTTGATGCTATTCTTGCTGCCATGTATGCTGTGTCTATTAGTGCTGAGGGTGACTGTTACGTGTGTGTTCTGCCTGACCCTGGTATTGAGGCTGTTGCTCTAGGTGCTAGTGAGTCTGCTGCTCCAGGTACTCGTGAGTCTGCTCCTCTAGGTGCTGGTGAGTCTGCTCTCTCAGGTACCGAGTCGGCTCAGGTCTTTCACACCTTCACCCTCGACTCGGGTGCTTCCCGCTCCTTCTTTCGAGACCGCACCACCCTTAC